CACTCTGCTGCTAACAGTGTAAACACCATCAGGATCTGTGCTTTTCTCTGCAGCTCCAGCAGACATGATGTTTCCGTCTCCGTCCAGCCAGAACATCTCAGGTTCTGGATACCAGCCTGCAGCGCTGCAGTCCAGCATCACTCCACTGCTGCTGACATCCAGTCCAGATAAACTGGCACCAGGTGAGGAGGCGGAGCCTGATGGTCAGAGAGCAGAGGAAGATGAAGAATCACATCGTTTAACATTCATACTGTGACGATCAGCTAAATGTTACATTTAAACTGTAAATGAACTGCAGAACCAGAATTAATGTCGTATTTTAAATGTTGAGCTTATGGTTTGTTTTTCTTTTGTGAGCTTTATCTATGTGATGTTCAGTAGGTTAGCTTGTTGCTTTCAAAATGTAACAGCCCAACTGTTTTAAACTTCAGAATGTTTAATTATGTTAAAATACTTTTCAATCATTTTTACATCTTTAATCAATCATTTTAAATAAACTTGGTATTGATAACCTTACAGCTTCATTCAGCACATCTCTCTCATTTTCCTCAAACTTTTCAAACATTACGGATTATAACAGACAATCTGAGTTCAAATGTTAAATTGATTTTATTTTGACTTTATAGCAACAGACACTTTCAGTGACTTTGATTCAAAATCAGATAATTAAACAAACTTATCTAAAAATATCCTTTCAACTTGCTGATTTTAGTACAAGAGGTAAAGCATTTGACAACACTGATAGTTTTTAGTTAAAATGTCATTGCAAATATTCCTTAGTAAACATTAGTATGAAGAAAATGGTTTTAATTGTATACTGTATGTTGTAAGTTATTTTCTTACCAACAACAAGCTCAGTAAAATATTCCTTCTTCTCTCTGGGTAAGTAGCATCTGTATCTTCCATTGTCAGATATTCTGACATCAGAGAGTTTCAGTGAAACGTCTCCATTTTTCAGATTTTCGGGGATTATTGACGATCTTCCCCTGAAGGCTTCATTTTGGTCCACTGAATATTCTTGACCCTCAAGACTCACAAACACAAATCTGGGTTTCAGGTCGGGTCTGCCCCACTCCACTGTCATCTGAGACGCATCTTTAGGAGGTTTCAGGAAACACGGCAGAACCACGTCCTCACCGACCATCACAGTAACTGACTGAGGTGAATCCGTCTGCTGAGACTCACCTGAAAATGACAAAAGACGAGGAAGTTCAACTGTAGTGGGAATTTGTCCTCAAACCAACATAACAGTCACTTTATGTTGGTTTATATCCCCGATGTATCAAGGCCGGTTTTGCTGCCCTCTAGTGGTTGTAATTATTTCCAACCACTAACTACCACATTAGTAATTGGTATGCTAATGTTACTACACCGTTAGCATAGTAAGCACCACTTTTATTATTTGTGATATAGCACTTATTCAGCCAGAAAGTGTGTGATAACACACACATTATTAATAAACTATTTTCTGTCTGTTCCATCCAGATTTAACATCAGTTTCTGTTTTACTGTTTTCAGAGCCTCTACAACTTTAACAGGTTTTAGAAACTGGCTGGTTTTAGCTCATTTTTGTTTTGAAAGATTAAGATTATAGCACAAAGCTACTCTATAACTTGTCAGATTAATGTAAGACAGATGAATGAGTCAAACTGTCAGGAGTGCAATAGTTTAAGGTGTAAATAAATATAGCAGCTGGTGTTTATTCAGCAATTTGTTGTTCACCAAACTTGCATAAAATAATAAAATACTTTAAAGAAGAAGAAGAAGGAAACAATAAAAACAAACATGAATGACTGCTGGTAACATGTTGGTCAACAGAACTGCTCTACCTGATTTCATTCATTTCATTGAGTTGAATCTTCAGCCCTTAAATAAAAACGTTTTTGTTGCCTAAATGTCCTGATTTTTTCCAAACTGGTGACTAAAGCAAACATTTCTAATCCTGGAATCATGGAGGAAACAGATAAATATCACAGACAGTCAGGCTTACAGTGTAAAGCTAAATTTGAACATATTCCAGTAAATTTGTGTAGAAATTACCTTTACAGGTGAACATGAGGAGCAGGAAGCCAGTCACAGCAATAATGGAGAGAAGATTCATAGAAAACATCTTTTCCTTATGATCCAACCTGTAAATGTAACATTAAAGCACAGAGAGTATGGTTTTAAAATAATTTAGTGTTAAAGGGTTTCTATCAAAAATGACATGACGACATTTTCATAGTTATGAAAATGAAGACAACTCTTTGAATGAAAAGGTGTGTCCAAACTTTTGGTCTGTACTGTAAATAAATATTGTTTTATATAACTCGTGGTCTTCAGCCATTAGTTTATTTTGTCATGAGGAATTTCAAATATGGCTAATTTTTTATTTCAAATAAATATTTTTAAAATAATAAATGAAAATGTTAATATCCATGTTTTTGAACAGTGAATAAGAAAACACTTCAGATTAAGACATAGTGGTTCATGCAAACTTTCACTTTAAAAGAAGCTAAATAAATATTTATCAACAGTAAAACGCTCCTTTCTAACATCCAAAAGCTTCCAACGGTTCTCAACACAAAAACCAAGTGTTTCAAATACAGGAAGATAAAACGCTTCCTGAAGTTACAATGAAAAGTTAAAACATTAGAAAATGATTTAAAACCACCAGCAGCAACAACAAAATCATACCTTTGTTAAAAAAGCAATAAAGTGCAGTTTAATACAGGAGAGAAAACATAACATGCAGTTTCATTTACATGCACCGACATTTTGATAAAGACAAAACTGCAGCAGGTGCAGTTAAACTAACAATAATCACCAGAACCTGAGCCATTAAATCAGAGGTAGTCTAAAGATAAACGTTTAAATTTACAATCATCATTTCAAAATACTTTACATTAAATCTGTTAAAGCGTTAAACAAATATTTGTTAGTTTTCTCAAGGTTAAATTTCAAGAGCTTTTATCAATCAAAATAAACTCATAATCTAATAATCCATTTGACTAAAAATGACTTTCAAACAGGAATATGAACAATTATAAAATATTTCAGACTAGATTAAGAACTTAAAGTGAAAAATTGAGCGACAGAAAGGTTAGAAGCTTTCAGTACGTACCTGATCTACAGAGACTCATTTATGATCAAACAAGGTTCAAAGTAACAGGACGATGAGATTCTGGGTCAAAGTCCATGAACAACTCAGTTTATATGTAATAAAATCAGGTGTGTTCTGCTTTGTTGGTTGTAACTTTTGCAGTGATTCATCAGAAAGCCGAAAGGTTTTCTCTCTCTGGTAAAAGACTTTTACAAGGCACATATACAATTTCTGAAATGACTGACAGAAAGTAATGATCTTTTTCTCAATATTCAAATTTGTTAAGGTTTATCTGCATATAAAGTCATTAGAATAAATGTAAAACTCATCATTACTTTCCATCTACAATGAATTCAAATTCTTAATTTCAACCTGGTTTGATTAAATAAGTGTTAAGCCCAAAAGTAACAAGACGCTCCATTCTGGGATGAGTGTATGTAAACTTCTGACTCCAGTTGTTGCAACATAGAGAAATATTTCTAAAGATAAAGATCTGTGAATGTTAAAGGAAAATAATAATTAATAAATACTGCATTAGTCCATGTTGTTTTATACAGCAGTTATTTTATTTTGGTAATAATTCACAGATCTTTTTAACACAAGTTTGTGAAATAAAATTATAAAACAGCACATTTTGGACATAAAGATACTTTAACATTGGAGTCACAAGAATCAACTTCCTGCTCTGAGACTTGAAGTTTTGATAAATTGGACAAAACTTGTTCTGTGTAACATAATCCAAGTTCCTCAAATCACAGACAAACAAGTTGAAGCAAAGACCGGTCATGTCTCAGGATTTAGAGTTTATGACAGGATTAAAGAAACATTTTTACTTCAACCATGATTGTGTAGATTAAGTCTACAAATCTCTAAATGTTTAATAAAAAAATAGAAATGAGAATAGGTAATAGCATTACTTTTGTCATACAATACATGTCTTACGTCTCGTCAGACATATTTGTGCACTTTGGGTTCCCTGGTATGTAAAAGCAGCGTTATACATAAACACATANTATACTGTATGTTGTAAGTTATTTTCTTACCAACAACAAGCTCAGTAAAATATTCCTTCTTCTCTCTGGGTAAGTAGCATCTGTATCTTCCATTGTCAGATATTCTGACATCAGAGAGTTTCAGTGAAACGTCTCCATTTTTCAGATTTTCGGGGATTATTGACGATCTTCCCCTGAAGGCTTCATTTTGGTCCACTGAATATTCTTGACCCTCAAGACTCACAAACACAAATCTGGGTTTCAGGTCGGGTCTGCCCCACTCCACTGTCATCTTAGTCGCATCTTTAGGAGGATTCAGGAAACACGGCAGAACCACGTCCTCACCGACCATCACAGTAACTGACTGAGGTGAATCCGTCTGCTGAGACTCACCTGAAAATGACAAAAGACGAGGAAGTTCAACTGTAGTGGGAATTTGTCCTCAAACCAACATAACAGTCACTTTATGTTGGTTTATATCCCCGATGTATCAAGGCTTGTTTTGGAGGCACTTTGCTGCCCTCTAGTGGTTGTAATTATTTCCAACCACTAACTACCACATTAGTAATTGGTATGCTAATGTTACTACACCGTTAGCATAGTAAGCACCACTTTTATTATTTGTGATATAGCACTTATTCAGCCAGAAAGTGTGTGATAACACACACATTATTAATAAACTATTTTCTGTCTGTTCCATCCAGATTTAACATCAGTTTCTGTTTTACTGTTTTCAGAACTTTTATAACTTTAACAGGTTTTAGAAACTGTGAGAACTTGGAGAACACAATGGCTGGTTTTAGCTTATTTTTGTTTTGAAAGATTAAGATTATAGCACAAAGCTACTCTATAACTTGTCAGATTAATGTAAGACAGATGAATGAGTCAAACTGTCAGGAGTGCAATAGTTTAAGGAATAAAATATACCAGCTGGTGTTTATTCAGCAATTTGTTGTTCACCAAACTGGCATAAAAAACCTTAAAAAA